TGGGTATTTATCTCCAGGTATTTTGGGATATGCAGTTGATCAGGCAATAGCCTGAGTGGGGATGGATGGATGCCACACCTGCCCACCCTTTCCATGAGACATTTCCTGTGGAAACAGGACAGAAAGGGACAGATGTGCACAGCTCTTGGGGTTTTAAGTCCCAAGACAAAGGAGAAGAAAATGACATTCGAACAGAAGTGCTCTGGCTTTGGGAAAGTTATGAGCACATAAAAAGATGAATAATGAAAGCTCGCARCATCTGTAACTGTAATGGATACCATGAAATGTCTGCTGAAATAACATATCSTTGGATCCATAAATGGCACTGACATCACCCAGAGCTGTGTCTTCAATGTGCCCTGAGCCTGTTGAGGTAAAGCAGCACGAGCTCCTCACCTCTGTGAGGATTCCTCAGCAGCTGCTCCATTCTGAAAGGGCTCAACCTATCCCTAATCCAAACTAATTGAACCAAAGAAGGAAATAGAGATGATGAAATCCAAAGCAACTGGAGAAACTATCCCATTGAGGTGTTTTTATGATCTTATTCTGATAYCACATTCTGTTTGTAAGAAGTTGGTGTTGGCCCGTTCAGACTSCTTTTGTAGGGATCTGATAACTTCCAGCTTCAAGTGCTTTGGAGCAGTGTTTTAAGTATTTTAAATGAAAARGGGATACTCAGGTGGACCCTGAGCCAGGCAGAGTTCCAGCTCTTGCAGGCCATGCTGAGGCACAGCTCAAGTCTCCAAACAAGGCTGTTACCAGTGGGATGCCCTCTTCAGTCCAGCAGCATTTTCAATCCTTAGAGTTGATTTCAGGGCAGGGATCAGGGGGTGGACTTTGCCCAGGCTGTGCTGCAGGGTGGCTGCAGACAGTGGAATGTGCTTTCCAGACTGGCTTTCCTGACATTTATTGGGGTGCTGTGAATTAGAGGAGTTTCTCAGTGTAACATCATGAGCTGCAGTAAATAMAGGCCACTTTGGGAAGGTCCCTCATAGCTCTGTGTCCCAATTTCCCAAACTGCTTTGAGGATCCATGCTCACAGCACTTGGGTCACTGCTGAGCTTCACTCATTTGTCAGATTGTGATTGCTTAGCAGRGAACACATAGAGGGTGACACCAGCTCTGCCTAATGCTGGTCCCTGGGTGATGTGTAAATCCTGCCCAGAGGAACACAGCATCATCTGCTCTGGAGTTGTGCACTTGGTACTGGTTTTAAGCCAGCACAAACAGGGATCAGACCAGTGATGGCAACTTGAATGTACAGAAGTTATTTGAGAACTCAGCCCTCTGTCTGCCTTTTTGTTTTCCCATCACATTTGATTAAGAGTATTCCCTTTCCAGCTCTGTGTCTGGGAAGAACATTGATTCCTTGTCCTAACTTTAGGGTTTTTTTTCCATGTACAATTATCTCAAATGGCTTGATACTTTATTAGGTAAAATTTAAAGGAAATCTTATTTGCACTGAAAGCCAGGGATAAGAAGGATGGGAAAAGAGAAATCAGAAAGAAGATAAAGCCAGAGAGCTTCACGCAGGCAGATACAGCTGCTGTTCCATGTGAAGTCACACACTGTGTGGGTCTATTATTGGTGGAGGAAAGCCCTGGAGACACAGAATTCTCATCACAAGGGAAAGGGGCTTATGTAATGTGGTTTTACAACTAATGGAAGCTGCACTGTCCAAATTTAAAATGAAATCACTTTCCCTATAAATGAAAATATTATTGCCTTCRGCTAAGCCAGACCAGACAAAATGCCCTGAGCCTTTTAAACCACACGAGTTAAGAGAAGGCTGCAAACACCTGGAATTGTTGGGTGATGGTTCTGATCCAGAGCTCATCCTGAGCCAGGAGCAGGAGAGAACGACAACACAAATATAACAGAGGGGTTTCCAGTCCTGTAACATTTCATCAAATCCTTGTAAAGAGCGGATACTTCTGGAGCCCTTCCACCACTTACACGATGGAAATTATACAAGATGTTATTTGCACTGAAACCCGAGGGAACATTGCAGCAAATGTTGGCACAACTGCACTTTTTCCTTKATCCCTAATCACACTCCACTCTAAACCTACCTCATCTCTATTCTACCCATATCCTTACCTGAACCTTTGCAAGTCCCCTTTGGCTCAAAGCTACAAATAATTAGGATTGCTCCTCTAACAAAAGAGGAGGCTGGAGTCCTTTTGGCAGATTTCCAGGGAATTTTGGGGCAGGGAAGTTAGCACAGGGACAGGACAACAGCTCTGAGGAGAAACTGCCAGAAAAGGAAGAACTGGGCCATCYTTTAGAGGGAAGAAGAGGCCAGACAATATCTGGGCAAAGGAAACCTCACTGGGAAAAGCAGCAGCACAGGGTGGTTTCTTCATGTTGCCCAGGAACAGAATAAAGTCAGTAAAAAGCTCCTGGAAATGATCAGAGGTGGATGCAGCCTGCTCACTGAATGTGATTTCATAGGSGAGAAAAGCCCCTGAAGTTGGAGTTGTTTTTCTCAACCACAGACAGTTGGAGTTTTTCAGTTACAAGTTTGTTCTGTAATATTACAAAGTGGGTTTATTGAGAAAGTGGGAGAATAGCACTGTGTTAGTCCTTTGCTAATTAAAATGCATAATTAAAATGAGTAATTAAGCTTACTACAGAATGCTCTTGTGTCTGGGAGCCCAACTGCCCTGGAACAACA